TTTTATTGCATTTAGTATTTAAAACTATATGTATCCTACACTTGTAAAACCGATAATCATTTTTTGGTAAATAAATATATTTATTATTATTTTTATTATCTGTCTTGACGAACTGATATCTTTTTGAAAAGCCTTCTGTCTGAAGAACCAGTTTCCTACGAGAGAATATCCCTTTCCTACCATTGCTATTACTCTCTTAGTATTTTTTTTATGGCATAGGGGGCAAACGAGTAGTTAAAGGGGTCACCTGATGGTAAGTGTTTACCGCCGCCCATGGACACCTGCAACTTAAGAGTCACAAAAGTGTTGCCACCCTTTAAGTTCCACCCCCTAGAGACAGGGGGGAGGGAGGCACTACTGCGACGACCATAGCAAATGCTGGCCATCAGGGTCATAAGGGGGTACCGCACGAGCTCCTTTGAGGCGGCGAGTCTCTTGACCGGAACTCCACCGTGGTACCTGGCGGCGAGAGCCCTTGTGGCTCTGTATCAGTGGCTCCAGGAGGTGCGGTAGTTGGGTCGGAGTCCTGAAACTCGAGAAATCGTGGACGAAAAATCCCAACTCCGCCGGGTCCTTGTAGAGGAGTGGAAGGAACGACTTGGGCAACCGAGTGCCATTGAGGAACGACGTGGCAGGTCTGGAGACGTGCGAGTGATCCGAACGTTATCACTGATCCACTGTTAACCATGTGACCTACATCGTCATAAACAGCCTATACTAGTCCACTGCTGGACATAGGCCTCTCCTTAGAAAGGAGGTTTTGGCCTACTATACCACGCTGGCCAGACGGGTTGGTTTAGGGTTTGTTTCAAGTTTTCCTTCTCTTTGCAGTGCTTTTGTCCTGCTTAGTTTGCTCCCTTAGTCGGCTCTTACGACACCCACGGGATGAATTGGGGTGGTGACAATTTGTATTCTTAATCCGTCACCACACGGACTACATAAGTGACCTACATAAGTATTTGATATTAATTTTAATTGATACATTCACGCGCTCGCGACTAAAAGGGTCTTCTTATACAGGACATTAAGGATGGAACCCTAAAAAATGGCATAGGGTCGTCTAGACAACAACATAAAATATGTACGTAGATTTTTCATGTCACAATTTTGCGTAAAATATCTGGAACATTGTAAAGTATTATGTAATGCAAAATAAACCTAAATAAGTTACAATTTTATAGGTCTTTACATGTGAATAGTAAGTTAGTCTTGGGATCTGGAACTTTTCTAAATATTTGCGAAACCGTCAGTGGCTTAGCCGGTACTAGTCCTAGACAAATAGTAAGTTATCAATAAGTAAAGCTATTTACAAACTGCAAGATGATCTCAAAACATTAATCAAACAAACAAAAAATGAAATGAATATAAATTAGATTGAGTCTTCATATCTCTTCCCATCCCATCAGGTGACCCGTCTGTTGGTTTATCCACCTGCACCATAAAAGGTCAGTGCCTCTTTATAAAATAGTATTATCAGTAACTAACCCAAAGAAATATAATTAATAGGTTATGTTAAATTTAATCATTTTATCATCATCATTATTTGTGTGATGGACAATCAATAGTGTATTACCGGTATTTGTAAATTACTAATAATTAAAAGTACCACAATTTGAACTGCTATTAGGTTATATTTTAGAATTATTGTCATAGTAACATTAAATTTATGGTATTGTGTACAATTCTGAACATTAAGTTAACATTTGAACAAAACTTGAACTTTTAACAAGCTCGATTCAAACGGAGTACAATGATGGTTTACGGAACCATTCTTTAATTTGCTTGATGTAAAGTTTATCACGAATTATCGAAGTAAAATACGGACATAATTTACTGTACCGCACTGCAGCAAACTTTCCGCAACTGATCCGCTTTGCCTAACACCTAAATAAGTCTTCGGGGTAACTTTGAAAGTTTCTTATTTATTCTGGCAGTACCCACCCACAGGTCGCGGGCTGTTACAAGTTTATTTTATTTCGCTAACAAAGGTTGATTCGGAATGGTTTGACTGCATCTTATATAATAAAGGCAATTCTGTAATTCAGTTCGGAAAATTTGAACAATACTCCGAACAATGTAATGAAAGATGGATTGATAAAACCATAAGCATTCCAATGGCAGTTATTGATGATGTTTCCATTATGAATAATTTATTATGTATGTGTCGAATCAAAATGTAGTAAAAATAATATTTCTTGTGTGAATGAACGATGATTTGATAAAGGAGCTTATAAACTTTCGATTAGAGCTCGAGCTTTTAGTGCCCGGGCTTCTACCGGGTGGACTTAAGTTTCATGATAGACAATTTGGATTTGCGTTTGGGACATCGACGGTTGATGCGCTTATATCGGTATCGGTATTTTCTTAGATATATCTGGCGACTTCGACAACGCATGGTGGCCCAAGCTATTGCTGAAATTAAAATCACTTACTTTTCACAAGGTGCAGCTAAACTAATAGTTAGTTATCATTCTGTGTTGAAGGCGATACAATAGAATGTCTTCAGGGATCAGTACTCGGGGTCCATACTTGTGGAATATTATGCGATACAAATACTTTGAACGCGTATGCTGATGACGGTTTATCATTGGTGGAATCTGATACCAAGGCGGGGCTTGAGAAATTAGCTAATAGATGTTTGAACTTAATATCGAATTGGGGTGAACGTAATCGCTTAACTTTTACATCCAACAAAACATTGCAGCTACTTTTAACAGGTAACCTCAAATCACCGCCGAGCAGCAAGTTTGACAATGTTAATGTAAAAATATAACCTCAGTGTGTTATTTAGGGTTAGTTTTACAAAAGGACTTCATTTTTAGAACATATTAAAATAGTAAATGAAAAGTTTAAAAAGAGTCGCCCTCTTTGGTAAGAAGGGAATTGGATTTATTATATTTTCAACTCCTAATATTTTCTTCTGATTGATTTCGTTGTGAGTTCCAAGATAGCTTATTTTTTTCCTGGGACTTTCTGAGTGTCATAACGCGGTGTGTTCGTAGGTCACTACTGTTAATCCTGGTGTACAGGAGAAACAGTGGTGGGCGTAAGAGAGGTAAAGTCTCGTAGCGGTGACTTGTATAGTTACGTCATATATCCAGAAACACTTTCGTTTTCGACCATGCATATTTTTATAAAAGTAAAAAATTAAACTTATTTTATTTTATTTATTTATTTATTTATTTGGGTTAACAACAGTCCTTAAAAATAAATATTACAATTTAAATTTCTACAATCAGGTGAAACCAATTAATGTTAACCACGTATGCAATTTTGATTTTAATAAAAATTGCCCAGACTTTGTCACAGCAAAAATGTAAAAAAATAAAAGTTGAAACCAAAACATAAAATATTAAAACTAATAAATTAAATTACAACTAAAAGAACAGTGAGACAATATTCTAGGCAAGCAGTAGGTATGCTGAACAGAGTGTGTGTGTGTGGTGCGTGTATGTGTGTGTGTGGTGCGTGTATGTGTGTGTGTTGTGCGTGTATGCGTGTGTGTGTGTGTGTGTGTTGTGCGTGTACATGTGTGTGTGTGTGTGTGTATGTGCGCTACAATATACTACATAGCATTACATAGCCCTCAGAATAACCAAAAAAGCGAAACAACATCCCACCCAACGAGATCCACATTTAACCCAATCACACTTTAGCTTGAGTGCCCGCTAGCGTGTTCGTTATAAGCGTCTTAAACCTACTTTTACTGTTCGAGAATAAATCTATGTCTTTAAATTCGGTATTATAGGTTATTATAATTCTGGAGAGAACAGAGTTCTTGGCATAATTTGTAGAACGTAAGGGCGCAACCAAGAGCCTGGTATGTCTTGTTCGTGTTCGAGGTACACTAAAGTAGATATTTGCTAGCAATGCAGGACAATCAAGTCGATTTCGTACAATATCGTACAGAAAACATACACAGCTCAGCTCAAACATACAGCTCCCAGAACTGAAATATGATTCTAATACGTATAAAACCAAAAAAAAATAACAATTTTGAACTATGAATTAAAATTTTAACTTATCTATATAAAAAAACAGGCGAATTGAGAACTTTTGTGTTTTTGAAGTCGGTTAAAAAAAAGAAGCATGTGTCAAACTTAAATTATAAAAGTGTAAAGTGTATGAATAAGTTAGCATTTAGTGTATTTAAGACATAGCGTACGATAATGAGCTTAACGCTTACAAACTCCTCGAGAGAGTCACGACTCAAACAATTAGATAAAAGAAATAAAAAATCTTTGCATTTCTCAAAAGTCCTCAAAATATGAGACGATTCGAGTGCAAGTGATGTAGCAGTAATCAATGAACTGTTACCCTACGTAGCTAGCATTAACTCACAAATGATAAATAAACTGTTTCATAACACGTATTTGCTCATTTATCACGCGCCGCAGAAGACGGGGTCGATTGTATCGCAACACACTCCAACCTCGAGACACGCCGCCGCGTAATATTACTGTACTCTGTTGCGACAACTCGAACATGTGGCAAATGACATGTGTTGACAAGAATGTATGCCATGTCATTATTAGAGCTGAACCACAGAGTAATTTTAATCAGAAGGTTAAGTTGAATGATCAGGATATATAAAAAGGTTTTAATTGTCGAGGTTCTTCTGAATCCAGGTTCCAATTTTAAAGAAAATTTAGTGGATCCATTTCTGCAGATTTACCACTGTTCGGGACCCCTAGACCCAGATCCCATACACAAAAATTCAAGAAATTCTGCAAAAATCTAATTATAGGAACTTATAGTATCAGTATTTATTATATGTATTTTAGTTTAGAGTAAATTTAGTAGATATTACGGTGAGGCATCGCGTAGAAAAGTTCTATGGCAACGATGAAATAGTGCTTTGGGAAAGCCACCAAGAAAACAGTGCCTTAGTGACGAGTGGAAAGAAACTTCATTTCAAACTCATTCACACCTCAACGATTTTTTGATATGTAACATTTTTTCTCTCACTCTTTCGCGTTTTTATTTAAAAAAAGCACTCCATGTATCGCGCTGCGACATCTAAACAGAAAATGATGGATACTTTAACAAAATTGATCTACTGTAAACTCGCATCCTGTCGCACCAATCACTGCCAAGCTCCAGGACGTCACAAGGGCCGTAGGGATCGTAACGAGCGCCTCATCGGTGAAGCGGACTGTAATATTGAAGATAAAGATTATTGTTTAAGGCCAACAATAGCTCGAGTTATCGACTTGTGACAAAGGGCCTATGGTTTATTGAACGGAGGTTTCCGCCCGTAGAATATATTGAGTTGTATTTTAAAATATAGTGTTATCTACCTGTCCCTGGCTTTGTGAATATAGACTTTTATGTTTCGAAAATAATATTAGTATGCTGGAAATAGATAATATTTACACTCGAGAGCAATCCGGGTCGGATTGTGAATTACTGACTGGGGCTGACAGCTCATCTCTCAACCCCAATGAGACTGCTTCGGTCAAGTCGACAACACGTGAGGTAACAAAACAATAGCAAATGGTACCATGTTGTAACACAAGAACTAAAAATTAAGGAAAAATTAAAGTTGAATAAAACAATGGTGTATCATTACATTCCTCTTAAAATGAGATTGTTTTCATGTTGTATTTTGTATTTTTTATTTTTATATTTTTTATCTAAGTGGCGTGCAATGGGAGAGGCCTATGACCAGCAGTGCACTGCGATAGGCTGATAATGATGATGATGATAATTTTATATTAAAAATATCTACAAAATGAGACTTGGTGCGTTCTAATTGGTTATTATGTTTTTACTACATGCAAAAAAAATTGCTGAAAATCGTTGTTTTTTGAATATTTTTTTAAATAAGAAATTATAAATGTGGGCTTACCAAACTTTGGTAAATTATAAGCTCTGATGTTTAGTATATGCGGATTTTATTTGGCGTAGTTCGTTGCATAGTTTATGCAAAAAGCCTTTTTTTTTTTAAAAAAGGCACTTTTTTGCAACTTAATTATTACAGCTATGGAAATTCGTACAATACGAATTTCAAATTCAGTGAAATCCAATCCCTTGTGAAGTAGTTACGAGATCTCCAGCAATTAATCTCTTTCGACAGACAGTAATACGATACGAGTGTTTTGTCTACTTCTTTACAATAAGACTGTCCCATTAATCTAGCGGTTAGTAGGAATGGGATAAAAACGCAATCACGTGTGATTAATCATATGATTTTAAAATGATCTCATCATCCCTGTGACCCATCTACAACATCACTGCGACTAATTAATATTATTACGCTGGCGCCAGATACGCGAATGGTAAAAATAAAAAAAAATGTTCGGTTTCATTGATTTTGATGGTATTATATCAACAACCTTTAGTAGTCCACTGCTGGACATAGGCTTCTCCTTAGAAAGGAGGTTTTGACCTACTGTACCACGCTGGCCAGACGGGTTGGTAAAGGGTTTGTGTCAAGTTTTCCTTCTCTTTGCAATGCTGTTGTCCTGCATAGTTTGCTCCTTTAGTCGGCTTTTACGACACCCACTACCAATCACTTCATCAAATGAATGTGATTTAAAAGTAACAATAAAATCCATGTCTAACGGTTAGTGATACTCACTGTTGAGGCGGAGGGTTTAGGCTTGGTACTCACCTATCTATGCCAATGTTATGAACTAAAGAGTTTCTTTGTTAGTCAGTAGTTTCTGAGATTAGTGCGTTCAACCAGAACGCACTAATCTCAGAAACTACTGATTCGAATTTTTAATATTCTTTCAGGGTTGAATAGTCCTGTAATTGAGAAAGGCCGAGCGGAGCATCAACGAGAAATGGTGCGAAACTGGGGAAAATTTTGTCCTTTTCCCGACATATGATTGTGTTGTAAGCAAAATCATATTATTGTATCATCATCATCATCATCAATCATATGAGTGTAGTTATCTATATGAACGTATATAGTATGATACGTACGTACGTGATACGTACGTGTATTTAAGTACGTTTATCAGCTAATTACTGCAGTATGGGCTCTACCAAAATTGGAATCAGGTGGACGTATGTGAGATGTGTCAAGTTATTTCTATTAAACTAATTGCAAAAAGGAAAACCTTGACAATACTACAAATAAAATTACGATGATAAAAAAAACACATATCCACTACATGCTTATACTACGGCTCTTGATTGCAACCGCCACGCCAAATTTTTGGATGGAGTGCCCGCATCACGCAATGCCCCACTTATTTCATTTCCGACTTAACAGTCAGCAGTTTCACGTAAATCATAACACGATACTTATAATTTATTAGAATAAACGGTAGCGTAATAACTGATATAACGGATTTGCGATGAAATGGTTAAGGTTTGAGGTAATGGTTAGTTTAGAAACTCTATGAGCTGTTGCTCCACGACCGTTGTTTCCTGATGATGTACATACTACTGCTGTCAAAACTCGGATATATTATAGGCCTTGTTTTCTAAGATGATACCCTAGTCGTAGAGCGACTGGCCCATAATGCACTATTTAACGCAGTCTGTAATAAATTATGCTGATTGTGGCTATGTCCAAGGTGCATCCAGTTGTACTTAAAACGAAAGGCAACATTCACGCCTTGTTCTGCTCCAATTTGGGTCTTAAAGATGAGTGGCCTCAAACTCAATCTCTCTTTATTCTTAATATAATAGTAAAAAGACAATGAAGAAAAAACAAGATTAAGAAAAAAAAACGAATAAAAGAGAAAATAAAGTAAAACATAGAAAATATACTGACTGCACGGATGGCGTAGTGATTTAAGCGGTCGCCACGCCGCTTCCTACTACGCCGAGTGTTGTGGGTTCAAACCCCACATGGGACGACACTTTGTGTGATCCACAAATTGTTGTTCTGAGTCTGGGTGTCCTTTGTGTCCGTTTCATGTATGTTTGTAAAGTCCCCCGCGACACAGGATTTATTCCTAATGCGGGCGTTGTCTTTTTAAAAAAAGAAGAAAAAAAAAAAATATGAAGAGACAGAGAATAATAAAAAACTCACTAGCCCATGCCACATTTTTACTTAAGAAATAGCTTGCGCTAATTAATCCCAAGCATTTTTGTCTTCTGTGTAATCCACAATTGAGTAATGGGCTTTCAGACGCAATTTACTTTTTATTGCGGATTTAAATTTGTTAATGCTTAAGTCTTGAATATTATTTTGGATTTTATTATAAAATCGGACACATTGACCTTGAAAAGACTCGTTTATCATTTGGAGCCTAGAGACGGGTACTACAAGTTTATTTCTATTTCTGGTATTAATAGAATGCACCTCACTTCTTTTCAAAAAGCCATCTTTGATTTTATGAACGTATATTAGATTTTCATTTATATATATATATATTGACTTGCCACTGTCATTATGTTTATTTCTTTTAAATTTCTGTCCCACTGTAGCTTGGAATCTAGTAGTATACCTAAAAATGTCGTAGTGTCCACAAGGTCCAATAAGACATCCTCAATTATCACAGTAGTTTTCACTGGCTTGACGTTTGGCATAGTGAAAAGTATACACTTAGTGTTTTGTTCATTTAAAAGCAAATAGTTGACGTCAAACCAATGAATTACTTTCGAAATGGCGCTGTTTACGTCTGTGAAATTAGTAAGTGACCGTTTTAGTATAAATAATAGTGTTGTATCATCTGCAAACAATACAATCTCGAGATGGTCTCTCGAGATGGACACGGTGAGGTAAGTCGTTACTATATACTGATAACAAAAAAGTGCCGAGAATAGAACCTTGTGGAACGCCCATTTCTACCACAGAGCCTGGAGACCGCTAACCATTGCTATCAACTTCCTGAAACCTATTAAATAGATATGACGCAATAAGTTCCAGTGCTTTATTTTTAATACCATAGTGTAATTTCCTGATCAGCGTTTCATGAACAACACAATCAAAAGCTTTAGATAAATCGCAAAAAATACCTAGAGAATCGTAAGCATCCTCCCAGTTATCAAATATATGTTTTATTAGCTCAATAGTGGCATCAGTTGTAGAGCGACCCCTTGTAAATCCAAATTGTCTATTATGTAATAAATTACTATTATTAAATAAACTTTGCAATTAATCATTAGCATTATTTCAAAAGATTTGCTATACTACCAGATTCGAATAAGGGAATCATTTTACTAGACTTCATAAGAGAAGGAAATACGCCACTATCAACACATTGATTAAAGGGGGACACATATTGCGACTTAAATTCACTATCAATCCTACTATGTTAGTACATTCTCTTTTAAAATTGATTGTGTAAGACATGGTGAGGAATTCAAAGATTTAGTAGTTGATAGAGGAACGTTAGTGAAAAAAATTCAAATGCAGCAGCAACCACAGCATTTGTTGTTTATATTTAAATTACATTTATTATCACGGTATTATTTTAGCCAGTTTCACTGTTAATAATTTTCAAAGTGATTTTAATCTTATCATTGCTTCTTTTCATCTTTGAACTTATAAAACGAGACTTAGCCAATCTACAAAGATTTTTAAACAGCTTCGAATATTCTTTAACATAATTATGCATATAGCTCGTATAATCTTTTCCTACTTTTGAGTAAGCCCATTCAAATGTGGTCAAGTGATGTTAAAAAAAAACTTATGTAACTAAATCACTTTGCAGTCAATAAAATATACTTTTTTATCAGCTTTAGTGCTGCCAATCATTTTAATCCACACTTATCAGGAGAACCTACCGTTTCATTTACTTAATAGACTCTATAAGGCATACAAAGCTTTGCATTATAATGAGAAACACAACACCTTTTGACATTTAATACATCTTAGAGGAATTATCTAAGAATTCGCGTGTGCAAAATTTTCTTAAGCCTCTTAACTATAGTTGAGACTTTCTTAGTAAGAGTGACGTGTAATTAATTGTTAACAAAGACGAATCTTAATCTCAAATTAAGATCTCACTCAGTTGGAAGGAGTTCTTTTAGATTTATTCAGATTTCACTGAGTTTGGAAACTCAAATTGGCAGGGGTAAATAATTGTTACTATTACTAAAAAGGACAGTTTGGGTTGGCTAAACATTAACTTCTACTACTTAGCATGGCATACCAACCAAGATCATAAGGATAGGATACCAATGTGGGGACGATCCGAAAAAAACAGTTGACCTTGCTAAGATGGTTGCAAATTAGAATAGAGACATTAATAACTATAGTTTTTCTACTACTTCAAGTAATGTGTGACCTATTGTTGGTAACTTTTTCAGT